TTTTTTTTTTTCTTTAAAATATCATACATCATTAAATGTTGCCATAAATTTCAAGCTTTAATTCATTTATTAATTTATAAATTCCGGCTAAGATCTATTAAATGTGCATGTTTTCATTTTTATTTTTTTTAGAAAGAACAAACAACATTAAAATCTCGCCTCTATATTTATAAAATCTCAATTCAAAAGGTAACAAAAGTTTAAGAATATCGGTTTTTATATTTGTGCCTTTAAAAGAATAAAAAATCTCGAACGCTATTATTTAGATATCATTTTCCACAAATCATCACAATTTATTTACTTGGAACGTGTGAAAATAAACTTGGTAATGTTTATCAATTACTTATTTACCAGTCTATTGTTTTTTAAACTCGATTTCAAAAGGTAAAAATAATTTTTAAATTCCCAATCTCAATAGTTGTGCATTTCAAAAAATATATTTACCTACAATTTATTATTTGTTAATAGTACACGATTTTGAAAACTCAAGTATAAGTTGTATGTTCATATCTAAATCGTTTTATAAATGCAACCGGCTTTGCTAAATCTTCACGAAAATATGGTAAAACAAAATGAGACGATCAACTTTGTATCAAAAGAGCATAAAATCAATAAATCAATATGAACATAATAAGTAAATTGAATAGTACAACGATTTCAAAATTAATAATAAGGTTGATTCTAAAATTCAAGCTTGTACTTATCATTATTTTTTTGGAAATTGAATAATATATTGTAGGCAACATTTTTTTTTAAATAGTTTTATACATGTTTCTTTACAAAATAAGTTAGAAAATATTAGGTGACTTCACATCTTTCAAGAATGATATATAACATTTTAGATACTTTACATACATTATATAGTACTTTAGGTGTTTTTAACATTTTAAACATACATTTGTCTATGTTATTTTATACAATGTTTTATACAAGATAATTTTATATTGTTTACAACTGATATACGATAAATTATGACACTTATTACTCCGCAACTTTATTTATTTATAATTATTAGTTAATATTGTTTACCTCATATTTAATTTATAATTATTAGTTAATATTGTATACTCTCATATTTAATTTATAATTATTAGTTAATATTGTTTATCTTCATCTTTAATTTATAATTATTATTTAATATTGTTTACTCGTGCGACGGGATACGCACTAGTTAATTGAAACTAGGGTACAAAAAAATGGGGTACCAAAAGCAAAAGGGCAAGTAAACTTCGGATACACAACTATATATATATATATATATATATATATATATATATATATATGTGTGTGTGTGTGTGTTTGTGTGTGTGTTATATACACACATATATAATTATATAACTGGCATTTAAAAAAATACAAGGCATATCCATAACCGTAAAGATCATAATCTATTACAAACACGACTAAATCAGATAACAAGACATGCATGTAAGAATAAAAAGTACATGGTGTGGGAATGTGGGAATGCGGAAATCCCGTTACCTGGCGTGAATAATGCTCAGCATCCCTTTTCATTGCAGCCATTTCAACCCTTATTTTTTGAACTTCGGCCTACAAGATAAGTGACAGATCTTCAGCTTCAAGGTGAGACGAGCGATAGAAAAACCGTTTTTTATCCCAACATAATTTTTAAGCATCAATTCTTTATTTGATTCAGGTAATACTTGGTACTTTCTTACCAAGGAAAATCATGTTAGAAAGTAATATCTTTTTGGTCTTTCACAAATAAAGTAAACGTTGCAAGAAGATCTCGCACAAGTTTTGTTGAGATAACAAATCAGTGATAAGCTAATATACCACCTTGACACACTTGTCCAATCATATAAAATTAACTTGCCTCCATTGAAGAAAGCTTGCTCTCAGCCTCTCTCTGACCTTGACGTGCACGCTCCACTTCCTCTTGCCATGCCTGCACCTGAAGTGGTACAAAAAATCAGATACAAACCATTGAAGAATCATGATGACTGAATAAAGAATTAATTTATATCAGGCTTTAGTTTATACCAAACTAGTGAATATGCCTGTGCGATGCACGGGTTGTAATATAAATTAATATACTTATATAATATTATTTTTTTTACATTTTATATATATAATAAGTAATATTTAATTAGTATGTTTTAGGTATAATATGTCAAAATTTACCAAATTTCATAATTATCCATTATCATATTTGATAATTTATTAATTAATTCATTTGTTTTTTAAATTATAAAGATATGTGTGAAAAGTTTAAATTTTCTTCTTATCATCATTTATTCAACAGAAGATTCATTGTTTATTCTTTTAATATAATAAATACTTGATGGTTGAAATACTTTTTGTATCAATTTTTATATTAATACTTATTCTCCACAATGTTCTTTTAACCCTATATTGATATTGATTAATACCAAAGTTTATTCTTTTGATATATTTGATTTATAATCTATTTAACAAGAAGTTTTAGGCTCATTATTTATTTTCAGATTATTGTTGATAGATAAATTATCAATTATAACTTTTATTGATAGAAATACTTTTTTATTTTGTACATGAATATGAAATATGAAAGTTAAACTCGGATATTGTAAAAGATATCTCATTGAAATACAAACTTTCTTTTATTTTTATAATAAAGTCCCACAACCCATTTACAGTTAATATTTCATTTTCTTGTAATATTCATTAAAAACATATCTAAATCTTGAAATTTATGATAAATGGAAAGGTTATTTTTATACATATTACTTTATTAATAAAATTTATTCAATCTATATCTATATATATATATAAAGCCATCCTATTTACTAAATTTAGTAAGAAGAAAAGTCAAAGAATAATTAATGCATTCTATTTTTATCATTTTTTCAATTGTATTATTATTTTATAGCTAAAAAATCAATCTGCATTAATTTCATCATTATTTGATATTTTTGCAATAAAATCGACAGATAGACTTCAAGTAAAAACATTTCTCATTTAAAATTTAAATTTATATATTAAAATTTCTTATCATTTTGTTACATTAAAATCCTGAATTAATTGTTTGCAATAAAATTGAACAAAATAGTAATTGCATAGAATTCAAGTAAAAACATGTCTCATTTAAAATTTAAATTTTAAAATTTCTTATCATTTTGTTACATTTCCGTATGATTTGTTTCCCATAACATCGGACGAAATTAATAATTGCAAAGAATTCAAGTATGATTTCGAATTTATATCAAGGATGTTTTAATAAATGCATAGAATTTCAAAGATGTTTATTTAATATTAAAAAACTAAATTCTAAAAAAGCATTTGTGTATATTTTGTAAAATGTTTGTACAAAATGTTTTACTTTAAATTCATTTACATAATTTAAATTAATTACATTAATAAATAATATTAACATAATATTTTAATTACATAAAAGAAAAAGAAGAAGAAGACTACATCTATAATTCCAATCTCTCTTTTTTTTTTAACTACTGTTTCTATTGGGTTTCATCTCTAGCCTACCCCAACTTGTTTGGGACTAAAAGGCTTTGTTGTTGTTGTTGTATGTTACAATAAATTTTATAATAAAATAAAATTAGTATTATACGAGGAACAAGATTTCGTAAATTATAAGGAATAAATATATATAATAAAATCAAATTATATTATTATAAACATGTGAGCTAGATAATATATTAATTAATTTAAGGCTAGCGCTGCCAGGCTCAGATTTAATGTCCCGACAAAAAAAATGAAGTTGATGAAAAGAGGTAAAAAAAATAGATGATCAAACTCTATTATTTTTTAGGTCTGAACGAACAAGCCCTATGGTCCACTCATTTAATATCTCCCGTGAATCGCACGAGCTACTTAACGGACAAGCTCTGTGAAAATGACTCATTTAATACTTCTGTCCTGTGCATCGCACGGGCTACGTACTAGTTTCGATATAATTGAGACAAATTCATTACAATCACAATCATACTTTACAAAGATATTGATTACCATAAATATGGCTATTTTTATGAAAATGCACTATCAAAAACAAAAGGTAAAAGATTAAAAATTATAGCTACCAAAAACTTCCACTTTTCATAATAAATATTTTTGTAGACAAGATTCACAAATTATTTTTAGTGGATAATTTAGATGTAGATGTTAATACCAAATAAACACTAGTCTAGCACAAGACAAAGCTAAGAGCAGCAAGGTACAATACCTTGGGTCTCTTAGAAAAAAATCACATGCCATGTAGGAAATAGACCTAGTCTATAAAAAAGTGTTTCACAATGCAATTAAAAGTAGACCTAGTCTAGCTTATGTAGCAATAAAATAAAGAGACCAAGTCCACACTTAGGTCTATTTTGGATTCTATTTTGGATTCAAGTACAAACCCAAACACTCATCATTTATTCCTAATTTAATTTTTCTTTTAATAAAGGAAACATATTAGAGCATTTTTATTGGTTGGCATGTATGCTAGACCTAGTATTTTATTTTTGCATTGAATAGTTGTTAAGTTTTATTACTTGGGTTTGTCCATATCATTTCGGACTTAAGTCTATTTATATGCCACATATGTAAAATTAGACCCGATGCAATGTGAGTGCTCTAAAGGGTTGTATTCAATTGGGATTTCTATAGACTTTTTTAAGTCTTTAGAAATTATGGTGTATTCAATTTAGACTTGTTAAGACTGGTAAAAGTCTTGGGGTATTCAATTGAATTTTAAGAAATCTTACAAAATCATGAGGTATTTGAAACTAGGATTTGTTAAGACTTTTTAAGATTTAGTGGGATTTCTAAAGAAAAAACCTTATATGAAATTTCACCACCAGACTTCATATTTCACATAATTCCTCCAAGAAAATCTTAAAAATTCTCAAAATGTCAATTGAAATCCAATTGAATACACCCCCTAAATAACAAGTAACAACTGAATAATTGTTTCACGGATCGCATTTCAAAATGCAAGATGGACAACCAATGGATACATTGAGTAAAATATACGTATACATCAGCATATAGATGCATTATATAATAAATATATAATAAGTACATCAAATATAAGTTAAAATCTAGAAACATCTATTAAAAGTATGTGTTACATTACATAAATGATGAGTATATGTTAATCGTTTGGGTAATGAAACAAATCAATTAAGTCCAACATTACATCTATATATATATATATATATATATATATATATATAGAAAGGATTAATATTTACTTGAAATAGAAGAAGAAATCCCGCCTAAAATTTTGAAACTTACTAATCTTGGTAATTTTTTTCAGAATTTTTGAAAAATCCCGCCACTGATCATTAATTTCGAAAGTTAAAATTATTTTGAATTCATTTTGTGGTAACTTTTATTAATTATGGGAACAAATCTGATTATTAAGTATAAAAAATATATTCCTTAATTAGATTATTCAGTCCCAACATTCCAAATATTGGAATGATTTACAATAATAATATAATATCGTTTTTGCTTAGAGGATGAGATCTTCAAAAAATATGATTTCATTATGGAATTTAGTTCTCCTTTAAATATAAAATATTATATTTGACTATATGATTTTAACCAACTCTCATTTGCAATTATCCAAAAAATCATTTATGATTTTACGAGATATCATTACCAATAATCGAATGCTTATAATTGTTCCTTAATTATTGATAACCAATCATATATGCTTGAGTATGATTTAATATTACAAGTATAATTAAAAAGTTTATAGCAATTATATAGTAATTGGTATAAATTAATCACAATAAAAATAATCATTAGTTATCTTTTATGTATATTCTCTTTATTATTTTATACGAGAATATCCTTATGTCTAGACAAACAAATATATCATTAATAATTTTTTTATATATCTATCTATAACTAATTATCTATTAATATACAGAGGTTAATAATTTATTTTAAGTAGTAATAAAAATAACAAGAAAAACCAACTTACTTTATATATAAAGTTTGATACGTATTAAGTTGAACAAAAAATAAAGTTTGATTGCACAATCGACATCCCAATATTTTAATTTGAAAAATATTTGTAGAAGACAATTTCTAATAGGTAATCTAAACTGTTTTCCTTTCCAACAACGGGTAAAATCGATGGCGATATAATGAACAAATTATTTAAGAACTTACACTTATTACCTTTATTAATTGCATTACTTAAATTTGGTGTATAATATATTGATAAAAACTTGCACTTATTACCTTTATTAATTGCATTATTTAAATTTGGTATATAATATATTGACAAAAAGAAGATTTTTATTTAAAATTAAAAATCAAATAAACAATAATTCATAACTTACGAGTCAATACTAATTTGGTCATAAAATGTAATAAACAATAGTTTAATAAGTTACTTAACTATTTAAATTTTTTGATTTAGATAGTTTATACAAAAATAAATCTATTTTAATTAATGAAACAATATAAGTTTTATATTTATACCTATTATTCACATAAGTTTTTAAATTTATGATAAAATTTTACCGAAATAACTATTTTATAGAATCACATTATAGTCGAATCGAATTTTTGAATAAAAATCGTGAAAAAACACTTACTATGAAACGGATATAATGTAATTTATCATCGTGCACCACAGGGGTAGTTATTTTAATTAGACATTTTCATGTAAATTTATATTTATACTTATTATTCACATAAGTTTTTAAGTTTATGATAAAATTTTACCTAAATAGCTATTTTTATAGAATCACATTATAGTCAAATAGAATTTCTGAATAAAAATCGTGAAATAACACTTACTTTGAAACGAATATAATGTAATTTATCATCGTGCACCACACGGGTGCTTATTTTAAATAGACATTTTTATGTAATTTTATACAATTAAAATTTTATATAACATTTTCAATAAATTAATATATATAAATTGTATGACATGTTGATATCATATTTTTTGTTTATAAATATGATTTAATAAGACTAATTAATAAATATTAATGAGTATGTTTTACCCGTGCAACGCACGGGATTCGTACTAGTTACTTATATTATAAATAAGTATCACTGCATATATATAATTAGAGGTAAATTCGTCTGAACATTTTGTTTTTGGTCTTATGATTTAAAAATTCAATGCACCTAAGTCCTTCCTGCGACGAAAAGTCAACATTGTCGCCTTATTTGTCACGTGACCCACACATGACGAACATTGGGTCGTTTTCTTCTGAAATGGCGCAGCAACTCGACGACGTGGCAAGAAAAAAAAAATACACGTATCTTCTCTAAGGTAGAAGGATTGGAGGGAAAGGAAGAGCACGACCATCACCATCGCGGTGAATATGAACCTGGAGAATCTCATCACCCACAGCATTTTCGTCGTTCCTCCTTCCACTGTGGAGAAATTCCTGCTTTTTCCTCTTCAATATGAAATGGGGACAATCGGAAGAGGACGCCGGCGAGAAGAGGAACACTAGGGTTCCTCAGATATCAGCCACAACAGAAATTAGGGAGAAAATTGGAAGGGGGGAATAGACTTACATATCCCAAATTGGAGCAAATTTGTGCATTGCTTTCTAGGTGATTTTTTCTTCTTTTATTTTCTCTCTGATGGAAATTGGCTTTATTCCCACGGCACACCATAAGAGAGAGAAAGTAAAAGAAAAGAAAATTAGGGGAAAATTTGAAATTCAATTCATCAACAGAAATGGAAGTGCAGAGGATAAAGGGTAATAGAAGTGGGGCGAATGTTCAACACGCGTCCACGTGCGCTGCAGTCACTCGGTGGGGCTCACACTCGTACGGTCTCAGTTGCGGGCTACCGGCGACGCTGGTGGCCGAACGTGGCTGTGGCTGCCCTGAACGTGAACGGACGGGCTGACGAAGGCCTGGTTGCGGCTACGAGCTTACGTTGGCTGGCAATGACTGGTCGATTCTGGTCGCGCGTAGAGGAGTCGGGGCAACTGCACATGGTGCAAGAGGCCAGCGGCACTTCTGGGTGGTAGGACTGGTACGAGATCGCCGATGAGAGAATGCAGGCTGAGCGCCGGGTGCCGGCAGGCTGCAGACCAGAGTTGCAGATGGCTGGCCGGAGATGGCAGGAGCGACCAGAAGTTGCAGGCAGGCCGGAGAAAAAGATGGCTACTGAAAGCCGACCGTGTGAACTGAGGATTTGCGCGGGCCGAAGAATTTCGGCTGAAGCGTGCTTGAAGAGTACCAGAAATTTCCGTACATAAATTGGCAAGAAGGATACCTTTTTTTTTTTGCCACATTGCCGGTTGCTTTGTCATATCAGAAGAAAACGGAATGTTTGCCACGTGCGGGTCACTTGACAATTAAGGCGACAAAGTTGACTTTTCGTCACCGGAAGGCCTTCAATTGAGTTGAATTTACAAAACGTTCAGATCTCGGACCCAGGACTAAAAACGTGTCAACCCAACATACTAAAATTGCATTTTTGCCTATAATTAAATTCACTACCATGACTTACAGGAACAATAAATTGCATTTTTGCCTATAATTAAATTCACTACCAGGACTTACAGGTGCAATGCAGTGTGAATCCTGTACTAAATATAATTTACTGTAACCCCACTACCACCCACCCCAAACGCACAAAACAAATAAATGACTATATAAAAGGAGGGGGGAATGACACTTTCACAAGGATGCAAATGTATATACATTATTTCAAAATGACATTTAACATTTGTCAAGTGTATAGGGAACCCAACAACACAAAAATACACCTTCAACCCTAAATAAACCCTAAATAAAAAAAGACTGTTTGAATAAGGAATAAAATATCATCAAGAAACTTAAGGTTATAAGATCAGCCATATAGAATTTGGCCAAGTCATGATTGCTAAACTGGATGAAGTAGTTAGTCACTGAATAGAAGAAAAGGCTTATATATTTAATATTTTTATATAACTCTACTAGAGATGTCTAAACAGTCTCTTATATATATGATGTACCCTTCAAATTTTCTATGATGATTGGGTGTTATATTACTTTTTTTCAAAGATATTTTCATTTTTTCTCACTCCTTTCCCAATTGCAAAAGAGCCACGTAATACCACAAGGTCCACAACTACATTCAAGTTATATAAATACTATTTCTTAAGCGATACATTTATTTTTGGTTCATCTGCAGGTCATCAAAGAGAATTCATTTCCCCCCACTTCTAAACCATTATCTCCTGGTGTACAAGTCATGAAAGTTGAACAAACAAAGTGCGTTTCCACATCTGATAATAATCCAATATAAAATTGATGGAGGCAAGGTATTTACACTAATGAAAGGTATGAAATCACTATAATCACTTAGAGAACAACATGTACGATTTCCGGCCAGAACTTAAAGTCGAACTGAACTATTCCGCAATGTGCTTTCCCGAACAATAACTAACTCGTAAGTAGAATATTTAACCCTAATCTATATCTCGACTCTAGTATCTACAGGCCTAAAGCCCACCATTTTACATAAGATAAATATTGTATGGGTGTGATTATATACTTCTTTTCATTTTTGTCTCAAGACAATTTTGTTTCTTTTAAGATGTGACTGAATACAAAATATATTTTAAAACAACACTATTCATTTAGCTCACTTATTTCTTATCTAATCTCATATAATACAATATAATAATAAAAAATCAACTATTACAATACATTTAGCAACAGAAAATACTATTCACTCACTCACATGTTTTTAGCTACCAATCAATACTAAACAATATTTAACTATGTATATATGAAATCAACTTTTATCATTATAATTCCATTCACAATCTCAAATATTTCATTATTAATCCAATTTTTTCTTCACCTATCTATTACTTTTATCCGGCTGAATTCTTTTTTTT